CGCGCGCCCTGCGCTCGCGCCGCGCGGCCGCCGCAGCGTTTGCTTGCCGCCGCGCCGCGCCCTTTCTCTGGGGTCGAAGAAAGGTGCCCTGCCACGTTTTTAAATTAAGTCCCTCGGGGTCGGGGGGACTCCCGGGCCCGGGGGCCTGGAAGCTGACGGCCACCGCGTTGAGAGTCTGGCCCCCACAGCCGACAGCGGCACGGGGAAAGCGCTGTGGACCCTCGTCCCTTTTCCCTGACAACCTCTCCTGCCAAGGGAACCCGGCTTTAAACTTTTCCCCACTGGGAAGGGGCGATGGCAGGGGGAGGGGCTAGGGTTATTTGGTGGGGAACGTCTGAGCCTCAGGGCTTCGAGGAAGGAAGGGTGAAGTGAAGTCACTGCTCTCTAGGGGTTTCCGGACTCAGATCTTACTCAATGGCGTTTACGCCGTCTGGAATGGGGGGCGGAGAGAAGGGAGAGTGGTGCTTTCACCGCACCTGTGCTGGAGCGAGAGAGAGCACAAAGTAACCTTGGAAGATACCCAGCACCCAGAAAGAATCACCCGGAGTGGTCTGGAGTGTGCGGTCAAGGTTACACTTGCATCCGTCACCATGACTTATGAATTACATTAGGCATCACCTGGTAGAACGCAAAATCCCAAACCCTTCAGAACACATCTAATTAAATCCTCACCTGTTTTTGGTAATTTCTTAAACATATTTAGCGCTCAAAAAAAAAAATGGTTTTCCCTTGTATTAAATCCTTCCCTTGGAAGATTTCTTATGTGTTGAAAATGATTTTTATACATAAAACAACTATAATAGTTTTTTTTCCCCCCAGATTAGCGGCCAGAGCATGTTGCATCGCAGTCAGTCTGAGTATTAAACTGTTTATTATTTTTAAAGTGTGGGTCTTTAACATGCTCTTGCCGAATTAACCAAAGAAAATATATCTGCTTTTGTGCTTTGTTTGCTAAGGCAGTATTAATTTTGGTCATTACTTACTTCAACCCACAAAGTAATATATTTCCAGTGCACATGTGGGTTTACATACACATTTTTTTTAAATTATTAAAGGACTTGTGATTATAGCCCCAAAGACTTTTTTTTTTTTTAACAGGCTCCACTTGAAAATAAATTGAATATTCTGGAGAAAAGGGGAGCTGATTTTTTTAATAAATATGCAAAGTGTTTTTTTGCATGCCTTTCAAAAGTCTTGTAATACATGTTCTCAAATTGCTGGTGACGTTAAACGAAAACTTCTTGTGTGCTGAGTTTATAACCTTTATACAGAAGCTTAAAGTTTTTGAATTTTTAAGATTCTGCTTCACATGCAATTTAAATAATCTAATTGAGTCTTGAGAAGTTCTCTCAGCTAAATGAATCTATTCTGTGGGTCAAGTCTTGACACCTAAAATGTACTATTAAAAATGTATTCTTTGTGTATGGGAATGCTGGCGCTAGAAGTCTGATATCCTCCTTCCTTCGGATGGATAATGAGTGGAAAGGGAGCATTCCAGGGAGCTGATAACCATCTGTTTCTTGTGGTGGTTGCTGGTTACATGCGTGAGGTTCCCTTCATGAAAATTCATGGAGTTACACTTTGTGCCTTCTCTGAATGGATATTACATATAAATACTTGAAGCTATTTCTAAATACTCTTCTTAAAAATTCTAAGTCTGATACCCTATATAGAAACACAACTATCACAGAGGTCATTAAAACCCATAGATAGTCAATAGTTTTATCCAATAGCTTTACTTATTTTTTTCAGGTTACTAAATCTTTTGCCAAATATATTAATTAATTAGTTGCCTAATACTTTTTTTCTCCCTTTCTTCCTTCTTCCCTCCTTCTCTCCCCCCACCCACCCCCCTTTCCTCTTTTGCATTATTGGCCACATTTACAGCTGTTGAGTTGCTTGTCCTGGTTATCATAAACACTAATCCACGCAACATTGCCCAAATCTTCAAATGTATGCCAATAACAATTGAGTGATTGAACTTCAAATTTTATAACCAAGCTTGATACTTTGCATCCTTAACCACTTGCTTACAGTAAATAAGTCCTTAAAAATACCTGATAGGACTTAGTTGTGTGTAGCTAATTTCTTACAAGGTAATTATGAGCCATTGATTTTATTAGATTGGCTTTAAAAAATAAAGTGAAGACTTTGAAAAAACTCTGGCAGTTTCTCAGAAAGTTAATCATAGAGTTATCAGGTAACCCAGGGTCTCCATTCCTAGATACAGACACAAGAAAAATGGAAACAAATATGCACACAAAAATTCATATGCAAATAATATTAACAACAATAGCCTAAAGGTCACCCATGAGTGGGTACATGAATAAATGTGGACTGTTCTAGCAAGGGAATATTTTTGTTTGTATTTTGTCAAAGGAATAATTTGTCAGTAAAAAGGAATTAAGTATTGATATATGCCACAATGTAAATGAACCTTAAAAACATTATGCTAAGTAAATTAACTCACCACAAAAGACCATAAAACATATAATTCCATTTATATGAAATCTTCAGAATAGACAAATCCATAGATCCAGAAAGGGATGCGAGTTTAAGGAGAGGTGAGCAATACTTTATTTTTAAAGTGGTAAATGTTTTAAAATTAGTCATGGCAGTAGTTGTACAACTCTGAATATAATAAAAATATACTAAAAACCATTGAATTGTATACTTTAAATGGGTGGATTTTCTCTTAATATAGATACAGTGAACTCTAACCTAGTAAATTTCTTACCAAAAAAAAATATATATATTAAAAATAAAGCGAGGAAGAACATGTGGAAAATTTGACCTAGACATTTCATTAATGTAGGGAAAAGTTCAAGAAAACAATAGTTGTAGTGTATTGTATTGTTCTGTGGAAACCAGCTGCCAGCTTTCCACAAGATCAAAGCCAAATTCCAAGGAGAAGTTCCCATCAACTCTTCTCTTCCCTGTATATTTTCCATTCTCACACTCAAGACCTTACCTCTCAGGAGTTCAGGCTCTTTTGTTAAGGTTTCACTGGAAACCTTTAAACAAGACCCTCAGGTCTTCACATCCTTTCTCAGAAGATGCCCCCTGTCAGCTAATCCCTGGAGGTTATTCCCTAAAAGCTGGGAGTAGAAACTATAAAGAAAATATTTCCTCAAACTATTTCCTCCTGTTTTATAATTTACAAAGAGGAGAACTTCCCTGAGTAAGACATAGGGACTCTAGAAACCCATTTAACAGAGCAGTTTCTGAAAGTGTGAGCCAGTGACCACAAAACCATTCAGGGATCATGTTAAATACAGCTTCACAAGATCCCGTTCACCCACAGAATTGGACACCTTAGCCATAAAGCCTGGAAACCTGAACTTAACAACTTCAAGAAAGCACTTGTGAATGGTACTATTCAGATCCCAGAATTTTTAATGAGAATTTGTATGTGACAAGAGGTCACAGATACCCAAACCACTGGAAAGAGAATGCAGAATTTTGACTTTAAAACAAACATAGCTCAGGCCCTCCCTGGGTTAAAGCACAGCACTCAGAAGCTAAAGTGAGTTTGATCCCCGCCAGGGAGGTGACCCACCCACATGGCACCGCAGACCTCTCCTGACCCATCCCCTGCTCCCCTCAGCAGTGTACTTGTCAGTCAGCCTGTTCTGCTCCCCACTCTGTCTCTGGTGAAGCCTCTCACTGTCCCTGTACCTATGCCCTGTACCCCAGTTCCGTATGCATAAATAAATCTTTAAATAAAAAAAAACTTAGATGTAAACATGCTGGTTGCTGGCCAGGAAACTGGTGATTTTTATGCCCAGGAAGGTTTTTTTTTTTTTTTCAATTTTTAAATTTTCTTACGTAAGTGTTCATTTGGGGACACTATTTGATTTCTCCACTGAGGTGTGGTCCGCATAGTTCTCCCACCACCTCAGCACCCATGAGCCATTCCCAGCACCCCTTGTTCTCTTCGCTCCCCTGTTTTGACCGGTTTCCCTCCTTCCCTCTTGTTGTTAGTCTCAGGTCTATGGTCAGCTTACAAGCTTTTGTTAGTTTCCTCTATATTCCTCCTAGAAGGGAAATCATCCGATATCTTTTCTTTCTGACTTCTTTTGCTTACCATAATCCCTTCCACCTCCATCCATGTTGCTGCAAATATCCCGGGAAGGATTTAGATCACTGGATTCTGTAGGATAGGGTTCATCCTGAAAACCAGATACCCTGGGTCCTAGGCCTTCCTCCATTCTGAGATCTTGAGCCAGTTCCCAGCTTTTCTGGTCACAATTGCTGCATCTGTCAAATGCAAGTTAGTGACACTTTGCCTGCCAGAGAGAGGACAATGCCTCACAGGGTGGGTCGGAGTCCTTCAGTCATTCCTATGCTCACCACCATGCTGTCTCAGATGACCAGCAAGAGAACAGCTGAATTTTGAAAGAAGTCACAGCAGGTGACTGTAATATCATTAAATTTACAGGCCCAAGATGCCAGGACAAAACCAGAAACATTATC